GGATAGCCTTAGGAGATGATAGGAAAACATTGTCCTTTCCTATCTGAGCAGAACTCAAGAAGGTCTATCATGACAGGAGGCTAAAGGGCTATGGTCAGGGAGGAGAAGAACAGAGAGAACAGTGTTCCAGAACAAAAGCTCTTACTTTTACCATATAAAAGTTCAGGTGGATTTGAGATCTTTATCACAATCCTCCCATACTTCATAAGTGATCCCTTCACATAGTATAAACAACAAATCTATGAATCCTTAAATAAACTCTTAAATATTTAATACATAAATAAATTCTCAAATATTCTTAAATATACCCTAGTAGTGGAGGTAAGTGAGGGGTAGTGATAACAGTAAACAGGAGAGAAGCTATTGAATATAAAAAAGTGAACTGGGGACGTTTGTGCTCGGCCGGTTAAGTGTCAGATTTTTTATTTAGGCTCAGGTCACGATGTCAGCAAAAGTGATAAATGCAATTCCAGGTTGTGCCTTTAAATTTCTTTCTATCTATCTATCTATCTATCTATCTATCTATCTATCTATCTATCATCTATCATTATCTATCTATCATCTATCTATCTATCTCTATTTATTGAGAGAGCACAAACAGGGAAGAGGCTAAGGGAGAGGGAAGGCCTCCAAGCAGGCCCAGGATGGAGCCCAACATTCATGACCTTGAGATAATTAAGAGTTGGACACTTAACTGACTGAGTCACTCAGGCGCCCCCAGGTTGTGCCTTTAAAAGGAAAGAAGCATGACATTCTCCTCTTCTTTTTTCCCTTCTTCTTGTAGGTTGGAATACGGATATGGTAGTGTAAATGGAAATAGCCACCTTAGACCAAGATGGAAGCCATGAATTGAGAATGGCAAAGCTGCAAGAGAGGAGGACCCTGGGCCCCCAAACTACCCAGCCACTACATCAGCTCTGGGTTGCTTACTTAAAGATTTGGTTGTGAGAAAATTAAGATTCTGCCTTTTTTAAGCCTCTGTTGTTTTGACCTTTGTTAAAGCAACTTAATATTTATACAACCTAACGTTATATAATATTTATAATGTTTACAAAATGATCTTGTTTCATTTCTTACTTCTAAGGTTTCTGTATTGCTTTAATTGTTTTATAACATGTATAATTAATTTAAAAATTAGAAATGTACATATCTATAGATAGAAAGTACTTAGGTCAAGGAGAGAATAAGAATTGCAGAGACATCAATCTCTGATATCTCAAAATATTCCAAATTATTTACATTTTCATACACAGAAAATTCACAAATATTTATTGAGGATTGGTCATATGAAAGAAACTAAGGTGATGCAAATAGCTATGTCACTGTTTTTAAAAGCACCACATTTACTTAATCTACTTATGAGTAACAAATTAATTGCAACAAAACAATACCATCCATACGTCTCAGATAATATTGTCAATCTAAATTTCATTGGTTTGAAGTTTTGTTTGTGTTTAATTTATAAAATTTGTTTTGCTTCATGGCTGTATACAGGCTATAAGGAAAAAGACTTAGTAGTAAAAAGAGATGAGGATCTAGACCTTCCCACTAAATGCCTGTGTGACCTTAAGCAAGTCCCTTCCCCTCTCTGGGCTTTAGTTTCTTTACTGGCAAGTGAGAGTGATGGACCCTACGGTGTCTACAGAATCATTCCCTGACCTGAGATTCTTGATTTTTACATAGGGAAAAAGCCCTCCTGGAGTCCAAGTGTCACATTGCCCCCTTCTGGACCTTTGTAACATTCACATGAATGAGATTATTAAAAACCCATAAGCCTACATGATTATGCTGAATATATTTTAATCCAATTCCTTTCCCCTCACAAACTATTTAGAAAGCCCAGTTTGAAGATTTTCCAATAAAAGTATTAGAAGACAAGCCAGGAAAGGAAAAGGGCAAAAAGCATCAAAGGAGCAGGTGTAAGTGTTGACATGGCGGTAGGGGTGGGCTCAGGATACAGTAGTTGTATCCATCTCTTCCCCCAATATAATAAATGTTATTGGCCAGCCTTTATCAAATGCCTACTATGTGCCAAAAACCAATTCTTTAAACAATTTTAAAAAATCCTTCCAACAACTCTTCTAGCCAGGCCGACAGTATCTGTGTCCTGAGTGGCTCCTGGTTATTCCCACAATTATGCCCCTTTTCCTCTAAGTCTTTCCCATCTACGAAGATGGCTCCTTCCCCATTTCCTTACAGAAGCATTCTTGACTATCATACGGCACCACTACTATCTTGGAGCACTTGAGACCTGCATCTCATAATCTGGTCCTTGACTTCATGATTTTTCCACTTTGTGGGAGTCAAGCCTTCACACAAAGTGTCCTTGAGAGTGCAGAGCATCATGTCCACCCCCTACCATTCCCCCATTGCCTAGAACAGTGTTGCTCACATGGGGCTCGACTCACAAGATCACTATCTCTCCGCATCCTCCAGCTACTTTCTCTGTAGGGGAAATTGCTTGTACTTTGGGTACTAATCACTCGTATTGACTCTAAAGTAGAAAAACCAACCTTCTGTTTTTCTTCTCCAAATGCACTTCTTTCACATCTTGGCAACACATCTTTATAGCTGAAGCCAAAACTCTTGATTCTTCTTTTTACCTATATCTTGTATTCAATCTGTCAGCAAATCCTATTGGCTCTACCTTCAAAATGTATTCAGAACACGATCACTTTATCACAATATTACCCAAATCACAGTCCTCCCATTGTTACCAGAGTCCAAGCCCCAGCCAGGTTTAATTGGATTATAGTCATGGTCTTTATAGCTGGTCTCAGAGCTTCTGTTTTACCTGCCCCCCCTCCTCCCCCCCCCCCCCCCCCCCCCCCCCCCCCCCCCCCCCCCCCCCCCCCCCCCCC